CTTCCTCAGGAAGGACTCCCAGCTCCCTTAGTCATCATTCCCTCTGGGCATCCTGCTTTTGGCATAATTACTGATACGAGCACCTCATGTCCCTTCCTGAATTATACCTACCCCCCGCCTCCCCACCCCCTGTACACGCTTTGCACAGTATCTGGCCCACGGAAGTGACTTCATGGAAATTCAACGGATGAACGACTGGACAATGAACAACGCACAGCAATGTGTGGTGTGGCAGAAAAGGCTACACCAGCAAAAATTGGAAGCTGAGCTTTGCGTATTTCCTTGCCTTGGTCACTTTGCAATTTCCTGGGTGCTTGAAACAGAAAGTCACTGATTCTAAGCCCCTGTGGGATCTGGGACCTCCCATCAAGGTATCTGGAAAGTCCTCATTCTTCACTTCTCCATGCGATCCTACCCTGCAGACTAGCCCTGCTTTCGGAACCTCTCCTGTTACACATTCTGTGACCCTGAGACTCTCTTTTATTTTATTTTATTTATTTATTTTTATATTCCCATGTTTCCAAAGGCATAATAGGGCAGTTAAGTATAGCTATGACTATGCCTTTCCATAGCCCAGAAGAGTCTGGAAAACTGGGAATACCCAAAGCTCAGGATGATATTGCGTACACAAAGTACTAGGTGGAGGAATGTTAGATAGAAAGCAGACTCAGTCATATAAAATATACACATGATAGCATGATCTGCATTTCTGTGATGCTTCTGAAGTACAGAAGCATTCAGCACTTTCGTAACTCTTATTGCAAGTTACCTCTTCAATCATTTTTAAAAATGCTTTAAAAGTTTTTTAGCTTATTGAGGTATGACTGACAAAAATTGTATATATTTAAAGTGTACAACATGTTTTGATATATGTATACATTGTGAAATTACCACAATTAAGCTAATAAACATATCCATTATCTCACATTACATTTGTGTATGTGTGTGCACGCACACACATAGTGAGAACACTTAAGATCTACTCTCAGCAAATATCAAGTATTTCAAGTATATCAAGTATGCAATATATTATTACTATACACTCACCATGCTGTACGTTAGGTCTTCAGAATTTATTTATAAATTATAACTGAAAGTTTGTACCCTTTGACCAATGTCCCCGTTTCCACCATTCCTAGTGACCACTGTTCTACTCTGTTTTTATGAGTCTGGCTTTTTTTAGATTCCACATGTAAGTGAGATTATGCAGTATTTGTCTTTCTGTGACTGGCTTATTTTACTTAGCATAATGTCCTACTGGTTCATCTATGTTGCTGCAAATTGCAAGATTTCCTTTTTTTTTTTGAGGCTGAATAGTATTTCATTGTGTATGTATACACTGCGTTTCTTTATCCATTCATTCATTGATGGATACTTACATTGATTCCATATCTTGGCTATTGTGAATAATGCTGCAATAAACATAGGAGTGTAGACAGCTCTTTGATATACTGATTTCATTTTCCCTGGGTATATGCCTAGAAGAGGGATTGCTAGATCATATGGTGGTTCTAGTTTGACTATTTTGAGGAACCTCCATATTGTTTTCCATGATGGCTATACCAATTTACATTCCCACCAATAATGTGTAACAGTTCCCTTTCTCCACATCCTTGTCAACACTTATCTTCTGGCTTTTTGGTACTAGCCATCCTAACAAGTGTGAGGTGACATTTTACTGTGGTTTTGATTTGCATTGCCCTGATGATTAGTGATGTAGAACCTTTGTATATACCTGTTGGCCATTTGTATGTCTTCTTTGGGAAAATGTCTATTCAGATTCTTTCCCCACTTTAAAATCCAGTTATTTGTTTTTTTGCTATTGAATTGTATGAATTTTTTATGTATTTTGGATAGTAACCATTTATTATATGTATAGTTTACAAATTTTCTCCCATCCTATAGGTTCTTTTTAAAATTTTATTACAAAGTTAAAAATTTTGTTTTAATTTTTGTGGGTACATAGTAGGAATGTATATTTTTTGGGGTGTGTGAGATGTTTTGATACACGCAAATTGTGTCACAGAAAATGAGGTATCCATCCCCTCAAGCATTTATCTTTTGTCTTATGATACAATTATACTCTTAGTTATTTTAAAATGTACAATTAAATTATCAAATAGTAGGTCTTATTCATTTTTTCTAACTATTTTTTTAGGTACCCATTAACCATCCCCACCCCCACCTCCTCCTTACCCCCCTCTATAGGTTCTTTTTATTTTGTTAATTTTTTTCCTTTGCTATGCAGAATAACATATGTTTTCAAAGCAAGTTAAAGCTGCTCTCTACTTAGATTAAGAAATCAAAACATCTGAAGTGGCTCCAGCAGAAGGAAAGGCAAGATGGGAATCAACAAAGTTTAATCTACATTCTTTCTGCTTCTCCTTTTTTACCAACACTGTATTCAACTGTATAACAATCGTACCAATAAGCACGAGAATGATAGTTTTTAGTTTAAAGACTATTTCAGTTTTAGTTAGACTACTTCAGACCTCACACTCCACGTTTCAGACTCCAGACTTTAGACAACATACTTCACACTCCAGACAACAGACTTTTAGACTCCAGCTTCAGACTTCAGACTCCAGATTGTACACTTCAGACAACAAACTCTAGACAACAGACTCCAGTCTCCACACTTCAAACAACAGACTACAGACTCCACACTCCAGACAATAGACTTTTAGACTCCAGAACAGACTTCGAACTTCAGACTCACTCCAGACTTCAGACTCCAGAACAGACTTCAGACTCCAGACCCAGATTTCAGACTTTAGAATTCAGACTCCAGACTTCAGACTCCAGACCAGACTTCAGATTTCAGACTCCAGACCAGACCTCTGACTTCAGACTTCAGACCCCAGACCCCAGATTTCAGACTCCAGGCTTCAGAGTTTGGACTTTGGACTACTTCAGCTTTAGTCAGACAGACAACTTCAGTCAGACCACTTTTCACCTCTACTATCTAATCTCATCTTTTAAACAACCCTCTAAAAAGATAACATTCCCAAGAAACTGAGACCCAGAAACACTGAATGACATACTCAAGACTAACCACCTAGTAAGGGGGAGGCCACAGTTTCCCGTGACTTTCTACTCTACCATTCATTGTAAATATATCTATTTACCTCTTCACCCTTTGAAGGCAGGAGACAATTTGAAAAGCCTAGATTGTTATTCAAGCCCTTACCCTGGCAACGTGCACACGGCAGATCCTTCACTTAGCTGGTAGAAAGAACACAGGCTTGGGAAGAAGATGTCTGATGTTCACTCCCTGACAACACTCTTGCTTGCTTGTCTGATCTCTCTGAGCCTTGGGTGGCCCATCTACTAAATAGGGATAAGTTATTTCCTGGGGATGCTAAGGGCCTTCTGCCTCATGCCTGCAGTGCTGCTCATGTTGCCCCCTTGGAATTACTTGTTCAGCTTCTTTCTTTCCCACCAGACTGTGAGCTTCCTCAGGGCAAAGACCAGGACTTTGTTGCTGTTAACCCCAGCAACTATCACCATGCCTGACCAAAGGGCATGCTGAATAAACATTGATTGTTCAAAACCACATGCCTGGTCCCTAGTAGGCACTTGCTGGTTACTACTTTCTTCCCACCCTCCCTCTGCCACCCCTACCTCTCTGAGTCTGGAGAGGATGGCCATGTACTTGGCAGGAGGCAGTGTCCATAGGGTTCAGGTCCTTTACAGCAGTCAGTTTCATTTCCTATGATTAAAATTTCTCTGAAACATATTATGCAAGAGCAGAATTTTAATATAGTCATTCCCTGGATGGTCTGGGCAAGACAGACCTACCCTGTACCAGTTCCTGGCACGGCTGGTGTTGCCCCAGTTATGCAAGTTTCTGAGGTTTAAAACAGAACAACAAACTTCCAGTGTTGCTATGAATGCCAAAGCAAACTTTCTCAGCAGAGTGGTTCCTCATTCTTGGAAAAGAGAGGAATGTCCTTTTCTTTCCCTGTCTCCTCTTCTCTGAGAGAAAAGCGATAATTTATTATTGAGATTGCAGATTGGGCCTTGACCCCTTCTCCTTTGACAAAGAGGCAAAACAAAATAAAATAAAATTTTCATTAATGCATTCCTCTCTCCCCTTTCTCTGTCCCCTCCCCTTTTCTGTTCTCTATATCTCTACTTCTGAATGTGCCCCCAACTTGTTTCCAAATACTTCCTTCTGCACTGTCCCACCTGAACCTCTGCTAGGTAATGCCCTCTGCTCCCTTTTTGCCATCAACAGTCTCATTTCCTGAGAGACACTTAGCTCATCTAGTTGGTTAGAAGAAAACATTATGATTGATCTAATTCATATTGAAGTGTGAATGACTAAAAGCCCAATATATTTACATTCCTTCATATAATTGCCTTTTAACCAAAGGGGCTTATTAATCCAAGTGAACACTTTCCACGTAGAATTCCCGTAAAGAATCTTGGGCTAGTTATTCCTCTGAGTGTCCCTCAGGGAGTGACAATTTCTTCATAACTTCTGTCTTTCTCTTCAAAAGTAAAATGAAGGGAATTGTCAGTGATCTCATATTGGGTCTACATTGGGGATTATACCCTCAGTGAGCTAGAGATGGGACAAGTTTAGGGACTGATTTTCTTAGAGGCAATCATTACCTGGTAATTTTCCTGGCAATTGAATTATGATCTTAGAAACAAATGCTTTTAAATAAAAGGTCAGCTGGGTATGGTGGCTCATGCCTGTAATCCCAGCACTTTGGGAGGCCAAGGCAGGCAGATTACTTGAGGTCAGGAGTTCAAGACCAGCCTGGCCAACATGGTGAAACTCTGTCTGTACTAAAAAAAAAAAAAAAAAAAGTACAAAATTTAGCCTGGTGTGGTGGTGCACACCTGTAATCTCAGCTACTTGGGAGGCAGGAGAATCGCTTCAACCTGGGAGGTGGACGTTGCAGTGAGCCAAGATTGCACCGCTGCACTCTAGCCTGGGTGAAAGAGCAAGACTCCGTCTCAAAAACAAACAAATAAACAAACAAACAAACCTTCTGGTCTTGGTAGGTGGTAGTAGTAGCCCCAAGTTCTCAGAGATCTCAGTGCTGATCTGGGATGATGCCCGGGAGGGCAAGGACTCCAAAGAGAAGCTGGTGCTGGAGTTCACCTTCACTAAGCCAGTGCTGTCTGTGCTCATGCGCCATGACAAGATCGTGATGATGCTGAAGAACCACATCTGTGTGTACTCCTTCCCAGACAATCCCCGAAAGCTGTTTGAGTTTGATACCTGGGACAACCCCAAGGGGCTCTGTGACCTCTGCCCCAACCTGGAGAAGCAACTGTTAGTGTTCCTGGAACACAAGTGTGGGAGTCTGCAACTTGTGGACCTGGCGAGCACAATGCCTGGCACTTCGTCTGCTCCATTCACCATCAATGCACACCAGAGTGACATAGCCTGTGTGTCTCTAAACCAGCCAGGGACTGTAGTGGCCTCAGCCTTCCAGAAGGGTACCCTTATTCACCTCTTTGACACACCATCCAAGGAGAAACTGGTAGAGCTGCGCCGAGGCACTGACCCTGCCACCGTCTACTGCATTAACTTCAGCCACGACTCCTCCTTCCTCTGCACTTCCAGTGATAAAGGCACCGTCCATATCTTTGCTCTCAAGGATACCCACCCCAACCGCCGCTCCGCTCTGGCTCGCCGTGGGCAAGGGCCTATCATTGGGCAGCACGTGGACCCTCAGTGGAGCCTGGCGAGCTTCACTGTGCCTGCTGAGTCAGCTTGCATCTGCGTCTTCTGTCGCAATACTTCCAAGAACGTCAATTGTGTCATTGCCATCTGCGTAGATGGGACCTTCCACAAATAGTCTTCACTCCTGATGGAAACTGCTGCAGAGAGGCTTTTGACACGTACCTTGACATCTGTGATGATGATGACTTTTAAGGACCCTGGGGGCTGTGCTAGGGACCTGCAGTGGCAGACTGCAGAGCTGAGCCTTGGCAGTGGGGCGTGCTTGGAAGCCACCAGCCAGCAAGCGTTAATGGGGCCGGTGCCCACTTTCCACTCAGCAGAGTTATGTCTAAATAAAGAGCTCACTTCCCCCCAGCACTTCTTGATGACTGTGTGCCCCAAGGGCCAGGCCAGAGACCTAGGAAGGCAGCAACCCCTTGGGATACCTAACCTGGAGGAAATTGTCAGGGACCTAGAAGGAGTGTCCTAATCCAACCTGGGGATTTTTAAAAAGCTTCCTAGGAAGAGATGATCTCTGATGTGATGAATACAAATAAAAGACCCTTAATGGCAAACAACAACAACAGAAAAACAACAAAAAACAAACAAACAGGTACTGTTGGTAATTTACATGTGCCATCTCACCAAATTTTCATAACAACCCTATGAAGTCCATTTCACAGAGACGATAACTTGCTCAAAATCATGCAGTTAGCAAGATGGCTCAGAATCTCTACTCATAACCACTATACACACTGCCTTTGTTATGTTTCACGTTATCAGAAATGTTATCACTTTGGAATGTTATTTATCGCAACAGACAAAACCTAATCAACAGACATCATCTTAACCTTCTAAAAGTCAATCTGAACAGTTTGACAAAATGAAAACTTAATGTAGACTAAGACCCCATTGTACCCAACCTTGTATACTCAAGGTTGATGAGGTACTATGCCTGCTGTTTTCTAGTTACTTAGTGAGGCCATCACTAATCTCAGCAGATTCCGGGGGTTTGAAGGCAGTGACCACTTGAATCAAAAAATAAAATGTTGACTACAAGCAGAGCAAGTAACTGTATGATATTCCTTTTCCCCAGGACAAATGTTTCCACAATTTTCATTCTGATCCATCAACAATGTGATGAGACTTCCTGGTCCCACTGCAAACCAGAGATGGAACTAAGTTCTCAGTTTAAATCCTAAGGCCTTTCTTGAGAATAATAGCTAACACTGAGCATGTAACCAGGTTCTAGGCACTATATTCTGGATAAGAATTATCTCCATTTAATAAATGTGAAAACTGAGTCTTGGGAGATCTGCTCAGTTATAAAGATAGCATGTGGAAGAATTAAGATGTGAATCCAAGTCTGACCGCAAAACATTTGCCCTTGCAAACCACACTACATTGCTCCCATAATGTGGATGGTAGGCATGACTGAACTGTGCTGAGCCCCGGGAATCAGTGGACATAGCTTTGGATTTGAGGCACATGGGCCACAGTTGATGGCTGCCTTGAGACAATCCAGAAGCTGATTTATGGCAGTGATTCATAGTGGGTCGTTTACAGCAGGAGTCCCCAACCCGAGGGTACTGGTCCGTGGCCTGCTAGGAACCAGGCCGCACAGCAGGACATGAGAGGCAGGTGAGTAAGCATTACTGCCCGAGTTCTGCCTCCTGTCAAATCAGTGGCAGCATTAGATTCTCATGGGAGCATGAGCCCTATTGTGAACTGGGCATGCAAGGGATCTAGGTTGTGTGCTCCTTATGAGGCTCCTTATGAGAACCTAATGCCTCTGAAACCATTCACCCCACCTCCCTGGTCTGTGGAACTGGTCCCTGGTGCCAAAAAGGTTGGACACTGTTGCTTTAGAGCCAGTATAGCATATTTTTAAGATATTATATTTTAGTATTATGCAATAAATAAATGAAAAATTTGCAATGAAGAGTTCTTGCTATGTTGCAGGTCAGGGATGATGATGATGATGGTGATGATGGTGATGATGCTAGCTAACAACGATTGAATTCCTTCTTTGTGTCAAGCATTCTGTTAAGCACATTATATGCATAACCTCATTTAAACAGGAAAGAAAATCAACTGTCATTTGAGTGATATCCTGTACTTCAGCCATTACTCAATCATCATTTGACTTCCTTCTTGGACTTAAAATAGTATATGGCATTATTTCAGGCAAGATTTGTTGTTCCTTAAAATTCTCATTTGAGGCAATCGTACCTGAATTGTGCAATGCATTTGGGCAATATTTGTATGAAGAAACCATGTGACAAAATGGGAACATGCACACACACATACAAAACAAACAACAAAAAATAAATAAAAATAAAGAATTCAGCCTCTTCAGGAGAATTGCTTAAACCCAGGATGCAGAGGTTGCAATGAGTCGAGATCATGCTACTGCACTCCAGCCTGGGTGAATCAGCGAGACTCTGTCTCAAAAACAACACGAAATTCAGCCTTTTGTATTATTTGAGTGTTTGGTTATGCTCTCATGGAATAACAAGATTATGAAGAATGGGAAGTTGGTTTATGGAGATCTAGTGAAATGCATGGCATGTGGGCTTTGAAATCAAGTGGAGGTTCCAATCCCAACTATGTTACTTGGCAAGTTTGTGAACTCTTCTGAGCCTCCTTGACTAAAATGCAGGTAATACCTGCCTCATAGACTTCTTATAGGATTAAACAAAAACACTTAAAACAACCAGAAGAGATCTTAGCTCAAGATAGGGTCTCAACAGAAGTAATTGACTTCCATTCCTCAACCTTACTTTGGATTCTACCTGCCAAACTCTACAATGTTTACTGACTTCTCCTTCCTTCACCCTCTGTTCTAGGTCCCATTTTTACAGTTTTGTATTTCCTAATTACTTTTATTTACTCATTTATTTATTCAAAGGTATTTACTGAACAACTGCTACATATGAGGTACTAGAACAAGCACTGAGGAGGCAATGGTAAGCGAAACCAAACAAAATTCCTGGTTATGGAGAGAGACAGGCATTAATCACACAAGAAGGAAGAAAGCTACAAACTGAGCCACATGCTTTGAAGGAAAAGATTACATCTCTAGACTGAAAAGTGAGGGAAGTGAAGTTGGGTGGGGGCCTGAAGAGAATGAGCATGGTCTATAATAGGTGGTGCTGGTGCTAGTGGAGGTGGTGGTGATGGTAGAGTTGATGGTAGTGATGGAGGCAGTGGTGATGATGGAGGTGATGGTGATGATAAGGTGGTGGTGATGGTGGAGTTGGTGGTAATGGAGGTGGTGGTGATGGTGGAGTTGATGGTGATAAGGTGGTGGTGATGATGGAGTTGGTGATGATGGAGGTGGTGGTGATGGTGGAGTTGGTGGTGGTGATGGTGGAGTTGATGGTGATGATGGAGGCGGTGGTGGAGTTGGTGGTGGTGATGGAGATTGTGGTGGTGATGGTGGAGTTGATGGTGATAAGGGGGTGGTGATGTTGGAGTTGATGGTGATGATGGAGGTGGTGGTGATGGTGCAGTTGATGGTGATAAAGTGGTGGTGATGGTGGAGTTGATGGTGATGATGGCGGTGGTGGTGATGGTAGAGCTGATGATGATGATGAGGTAGTGGTGATGGTAGAGTTGATGATGATGATGAGGTAGTGGTGATGGTATAGTTGATGGCAATGATATGGTGATGGTGAAGTTGATGATGATGATAAGGTGGTGGTGATGGTGGAGTTGATGGTGGTGATGAAGGTGGTGATGGTAGAGTTGATGATGGTGATGGAGGTGGTGATGATGGTAGAGTTGATGGCAGTGATGTGGTGGTGGTGATGATAGTGGAGGTACTGGTGATGGTGAAGGGAATGTGGTAGAAAGTAGCATTCAAAACAGAGGGAATAGTATATTCAAAGAATCGGTAGAGGTGGAACCTCTGCACGTCTGAGAAGCTGAAAGACTAGTGTGGCTGGCATGTGGATGGTGAGAGAGAAGGAGCAGAGATCAAAAGGAAAGTAGAATCCACACCACAGACCCTGGAGGGCCTTGTAGAATATGTTAAGCATTTGAATCCTCATCCTAAGAACTAGATGCCACAGAAAAGCTTAAACATGGGGCGAGGTGCGGTGATCAGATTTGCATTGTGAAAAGATCATTCTAATTCTTTATGGTCCAATAATGGTAGCTACTAGCTACACATGGCTACTGAACACTTGAAATATTGCTAGTTTTAGTAGAGATGTAAAATAATCACAGGATTTCAAAGACTTAGTATAAAAAATGTAAAATATCTCATTAATTTAAAAATATTAATTATATCTTGAAAAAATATTTCAGATTAAATATAATTAAAATCAATTTAAAAATTATTTATAAAAACAATTTCTAGGCCAGGCGTGATGGCTCATGCCTCTAATCCTAGCACTTTGGGAGGCTGAGGTGGTAGGATTGCTTGAGCCCAGGAGTTTGAGACCAGACTGGGCAACATAGGGAGACCTTGTCTCCAATAAAACAAACAAAACAGTTAGCTGGATGTGGTGGCGCACACCTATGGTCCCAGCTACTCGGGAGGTTAAGGCAGGAGGATCACTCGAGCCCAGGAGGTCGAGACTGCAGTGAGCCATTATCATGCCATTGTACTCCAGTCTGGGTGGCAGAGAAAGACCCTGTCTCAAAAACAAACAAACAAAACCCATTTCTCCCACTCCCCCAAAAGCCAATTACCTGTTTCTTGTCAACCTTTTAAAATATAGCTATTAAAAATTAAAAATTGGGGGTGGGCATGGTGGCTCACACCTATAATCCCAGCACTTTGGAAGACCAAGGCGGGTGGATCACTTGATGTCAGGAGTTTGAGACCAGCCTGGCCAACATGGTGAAACCCCGTCTCTACTAAAAAATACAAAACTTAGCCAGGCATGTTGGTGGGCGCCTGTAATCCCAGTTACTCCGGAGGCTGAGAGAGGAGATTTTCTTGAACTCAGGAGGTAGAGGTTGCAGTGAGCCAAAATCATGCCACTGCACTCCAGCCTGGGTGATAGAGTGAGACTCCATCTCAAAATAATTATAATAAAAAAATTAAAAATTGCATATGTGGCTCCCATTGTATTTGAACTAGATGATGCTACTCTAAGTGCAGTGTGGAGAAGGTGCTACAGAGAAGGCACAGTAGATGAGAACGTTTAGGAAGTTGTTTTTGTACTCCAAGAAAGAGAGGAGGAGGTAGCTTGAACTAAGATGATGGCAGTGGGAATAAAAAGAGTTGGATAAATTCAAGGTAAAATCAGCAGGACTAAGAGCTGCAGCAGATGCATCTGGATGGATGGGGAGCTTCATGTTGAAATACAGAACACCAGAAATAAATCAGCCTTGGTGATATAATTTGGCTCTGTGTCCTCATTCAAATCTCATCTTGAGTTATACTCCCATAATTCCCAGGTGTTGTGGGAGGGACCTGTTGGGAGATAATTTGAATCATGGGGACAGTTTTCCCCATACTGTTCTCATGGTAGTGAATAAGTCTCATGAGATCTGATGGTTTTATAAGGGGTTTCTGCTTTTGTATCTTCCTCATTTTCTCTTGCTGCCACCATGTAAG